CCTGAAAAGTGTGCTCAAGTGGGATTAATGATACAAAATTCCAATGCTATAATATATATATATATGAACTGAAATAAACCTATAGTGTTGAGGGTAAAAAAAATATTCTTCCGATTCTTAATATAAAATCTATTTAACTAATTTAATTAGATTAAGAAAGTTAAGTAAGTTAGTTAATTATAAAAAATATGACATGTTTTTCCTAAAATACCATAATCATCTTTCTTAATACCCCTTTTTCCTCTTCTACTTGATTATGGTTGATGGAGTATCCATAAAGGGTAATTCAGAGAAAATTAATAAATATGAGAAATGAGTCTTATATTTAGGACTAAAACTAACTTGACAATTGAGTCTTAATTTTCAAAGTTTATTTAACTATATTTAATCAAACCACAAAACGTTTAATCGTTGATGAATATGCATAAGAAGAAGTAACGATTTTTCTGTGATAGTATCTAGAGGCCCATCGTGTGAATAACATAAGGCCTTTGTAAGAGTTGAATTTAGTTCTCAATATTTAATCTTAATACACTTTGTCTTCTAAATTCATTTTATAATTTTTTTAAAATATCTTTATTGATTCAATACACATAACTAGAAAATGATAGATTAGAAAAGTTAACTTATATTTGTTACAATTAACTATTTTAATTAATTTTTTAATATCTTTAAATCAATTATTTAGTTTTTATATTAAGAATCAACACTATTACTCCCTCCGTTTCCTTATTATAAGAGACATTTGATGCTTATATGGCATGTTCCTATATATAAGAGACACTTAAAAATTGTCTCTACTTTTTTTGTATTGATTTTCTATTTTTACCCATATTATTGTCTCCAATTCACACTCTCTCTCCTTCCTACTTCTCTTTCTTTTAATAAATTACTATTGTTCTATCTCATGTTCTCTCTCCTATTAATGAGGGTATTTTTAAAAAAAAAATTATACTTTTTACATATTGATTATTCTTACTATTTTAACTGTTTTTTTATCAACGTAATTCGGTTATTCGTCTCTTATAATAAAGAACGGAGGGAATATAAAATAAGAACTACTTTTTTTTTAATCTCGTAGTCAAATTCTTTCCACTTTCCACCAACATTAATGGATATTGAGTGCCTAATGTCTGTTGCTTTGTAATATGGTGAAAGAAGGCTAGCGAGAAATGGCATCATTGGTCCTGGAAAGCGACTAGACCAATTGTCTCTGTGATCTCCCCAATTCCCAACGCTTTGCCCATTTTCGTCGTCTTCTCAATTGTTTTCTCTCTCCTCCGGTCCCTTCCTCTGTTTTTTTCTCTCTCTGCTCTGCTTCCGTCCTCCAGCTCCCTCCCCCCTTCTCTCTCACAGCTGTGTCCCTCTGTCTCTCTCAAGGGGTTACTATAGACCTGTGGTACCTTTAGTAATCAGTCGGGGCCTTGTGCATCAGAACGGCAAAGAAAAGAAGAAAAAGGAGAAGAAAGCAGAGCACAGGCCTGTGCAAGCACTGAAGCAATTGAAGCATCAGGATTCACAAAGAAAGAAGCTTCATCGTGAGGTTAGCTAAGCCTCATTTCCACTTCCATTCGTTTCTGTCATCATTTTGCCTCTCATTACTCGCTTCTTCTCCTCGTTTTAGCATCCCCATTTTTTTAGAGGATTGAAATCGGAAGCTTTTGTGTTTGATTCCAGTTTGAAGACAAGAAGTCCGTGTCTGAGTTTTTTGATATCTTCCTAAAGACAAGTTTTCGAACGCGTTTCGCTTTTTGTATAGCTTTTCGTCGTCGTCGATTTCTTTCTAATGCTTGAAGGTATTTTTTGGGGGGTTCTTGTTGGTTTCCGTGAGCTGGTTGGGGTACTCATTGCTTTGGCTTTTCAGTCTTGTTTTGTTGTTTTTACCGTTTGGGGGAAAGGGGAGATCTTTTTCTGTTTTCTGGGCTTGTTCTTGGGTGTTTTTCTTACTATGGTGTGTTCGGTTGCAGGGCTTTTAAAGGTCGCAGTTTTTACTCTGTTTCCTTGAGATTTACGTTTACAATGATATGAACTTGAAAGATTAATTGCTCGATTTCTTGGCATATCTCTCAAGGTACAGCAATTTTCTTTCTTGATATTTTTAAATCAATGGCTTGCGCCTCTAATATTCTCCAGTTAATCATTCATTTTCCTGTCATTTTTTTATATATCTCTGGCGTTCTAGATGGAATAGCTCTCTTCCAGTACGAACACAGAGCATTTAGCATCTTTCTAGTATAAAATTGGTCAGTACTATGTTGTTCCGTTTGGAACAGTTTTATAATAGCTTTTTAGTAGTAATTTACGGAATACAAGATAGGAACATTTTTTAAAAATAGCTTTTTAGTGGTAATTTAGACGTAAGAAACATGTTTATAAGGAATTTCTCAAGACCTCTCAAACAGGCCCGTTATCTACTTCTTTTACTAGTCTGGTTTTAAGCTGAACTTGGTTCATGTTTCTGAGGCTTCAGTGCCCATTAATGTACTTTTTTAAGGTCTTACATTATTGTCTTGACTCTTAATCATAGTCATTTGGATGTTTGTCCTTGTTGGTTTTGAAATGACAGTAATTTATGAAAACTCATTTGATTGTCATGACAGTTGTTTATGTTAATTTGAGAGCAAAATATCAAGTTGAGTGAAAAGATGATGTCATACTGTTATTATACTGTTGCACACGGCCTAAGTGCTTTATGACTTGGTGATCCTCGTCAGTCGTCACGTGAAAAACATAATTATGCTAACAAGACAATATTTTCTTTCTAGTACAAACATGATATGTTATTTTATTTTATACACTCACACAGTCGTAAGATAAGTAAAGCAAGAGATATCCTTACTGTAATTTCAAAAGATAAAGCAACTTCTTACTAACTACTCACATCTCTAGTGCTAGAACCATGAAACATTTAGGCATTATGTAGCATAATCAAACATGAAATGTTATGAAGGAATTATCTGTTATGAGAGGTAAAATATTTTATGACGATCTCATTTTTCACATTGTCTGGTAGTGAAGTTAAAAGCTTCATGTCAGGTATTCACTTTGGTGGGTCCCAACGTGGGCTCAGGCTGCTAAAGCCAGATCTTTCTAGATCTTGAATCAGGACCTCAGGGAATCCTAAGAGTTATGAATCATAACAATAAGACTTTTTTCTTTGTTAAAATCAGATTTATTATCGTAATATGTACTTATAATAATTGTAAATAACACGCTAATGTATTTTTTAACCTTCCAGTATTTCTCCTCTTGTTTTCCACCATTTCTGAAGTTGTAGATCTGGCGGTAGACCTTGCTTCTTCGGTAACACATGGGACATAAATTAGGATTTATATTGATAATGATTATCTTTAGTCATGATTACTTTAATAATCATCATACCAAAAAAAAAAAAATTTCCCACCTCAATTTCCCGTTCAATTAAATTTATTAGGAAAAAGGTTCTGATTATGCTCTGGGTAGCGAAACTTTAGCATGCTCAACAAGAGCTGACCAACATGTTAAATCAGGAAAAAGTAATTGTGCTTGATACTGTGTTTACACTGTATTGAGCTATTCCTTTTTTGAAGATCTCATTTTTATCACAGTTGCTACTTGCTGGCTTGATTCACTCACTGAATCTTCTTTTCTATACCTTGCTTGATGTTGAGTTCTTGTTTCTGATTTAAATTTTCTTCCTAAAACTAGTCATTTTTGGAAAGATGATTAATATTCCTGAAATGAACATTGAACTTTGAACTTTTGATGCATTTTATATGTTATTTTCGCTTCCTTGTCTACTAAATCCGCCGTGACAACTTTATACCCTGCGGAAAGCAGACAGACTCAAAACTTTAATAGATGAAGAACAAAATGAAATTCCAATCCTTCATCAGGGGCCTCGATCTAAGTGTTAAAGCATGTTGCTTTTTCCTTTTCTGGGGCACGTTCATTATGGAGATCACCATCATCTTCTAACTTTATTGTTCTCTTGTCACTCTTTTCAAACACAGGCACAAACCCATTTCACAAATACTACACCACTTTGCATACTTGGGTAATTTTCTGCTGATGGAGTCGGTCCAGCCATTGGCTGTGACGCCAAGCAAGAAGAAACTAGCTCGAACTATTGCCAAGGTTCTTCATCTTCGAACCCTGACTGGAATTGCTCCGGCTGATGGACTGAAGAGTGTTAAAGCAGATAGAGATCTTAAAGATGAAGGAGGTATTGATAAGGTTTTGAACTGGTCTCAGTCTTTTGATGAGGAAGATGAAGAATTTCATGAAAGAGCAGCGATGGAAGCTCTGCTTGCAAAACTGTTTGCTAGCATTTCATCTGTTAAAGCTGCATATGCTCAACTTCAGTATGCTCAGTCGCCATATGAGCCTGAAGGTGTTCAAGCTGCGGATCAATTGCTAGTCTCTGAGTTAAAGAACTTGTCTGAGATAAAGCAGTGTTACTTGAAAAAGCAATTTGATCCTTCACCAGAGGCAGCAATGCTGGAGGCTGAATTGAAGGAGCTTCATAGTGTTATAAAGACTTATGACATTATGGGAAAGAAGTTAGAGTCTCAGGTTCGGCTCAAGGAATCTGAGATTGTGTTTCTTAAGGAGAAGTTGCAGGAAGCTATTGAGCAGAACAGGTCAATGGAGAAGAGATTGAATCAAAGCGGGTCATTATCTGTGCTTGATAATCTTCATATATCAGGACTAAATTCTAGCCATTTTATTACAGTCCTTCGCCAGACAGTCAGGTCCATTCGAAACTTTGTTCGGTTAATTGTGGATGAGATGAGATCTGCTGGTTGGGATATTGATGCTGCTGCGGGTGCTATTGAAAAGAATGTAGTGTACTTGAAAGAGGACCACAAGTGTTATGCAATTGAGTCATTTGTTTGCAGGGAAATGTTTGACTCTTTTCAGTTTCCTAATTTCTCCCTTCCAAATGAGTCATTGCCGGAAAGAAACAGCCTACGACAGGTGTTCTTCCTGAGATTCAATGAACTGAAATCCATCAGAGCAAAAGAATATCTAGCTGAGAAGCCAAGGTCTCCATTTGCAAAGTTCTGCCGGATCAAGTACCTGCGACTTATTCATCCAAAGATGGAATCATCGATCTTCGGTGATCTGAACCAGAGAAACCTTTTGAATGCAGGAGAATTTCCCAACACTGGCTTCTTTTCATCTTTTGCTGAGATGGCGAAGAAGGTTTGGCTCTTGCATTGCTTGGCCTTCTCTTTTGAGCCGCAAGCTTCAATCTTTCAATTAAGGAAGGGATGCAGGTACTCTGATGTGTACATGGAAAGCATAAACGACGAGATATTCGTCTCTTCAGAGTCAGACCAGACCGTGGAATCATACCCACAAGTGGCATTCACGGTGGTACCAGGTTTCAAGATTGGTAAAACTATTATACAGTGCCAAGTCTACCTCTCACAGTCCCAATCCAAGGTGAAAAAGAGCACAATTCCATGAAGCAAAGGTAATGGCCGCTGGAGAGACACGAGAAGCCATTGGTCTCTGCAAGTGGCTCCATATTATTATTAGGTAGAAGAATTGTAAATTAGGTTTAATTATGAAGGGACAAGTATGTCAAAGCGGGGTCGCATGGTTAAAGCACGAAGGAATACTCAGGCCAATGAAAACTCAGGTAGGTGTTATAGAAGGTAGGATTGATTTACTGTTACTCCGATTTTGATGAGTTTTTATTGGCTTCTTGTATGAGCTGGTTGTGCAGTGGAGGACTCCAAACCGGATCCTTATTAACGTCCATGTGACTCTTATTGTCTCTATATTCCTGGGGGGTATTATTATTATGCATCAATTTACTTTTAAAATATTAAAAGAAAGCTGAATTATTGGCACAGCCAAGTATTTCTCATGCATATGGATAAAAAAATGGTGAACCTAACAATTGTGAAGCTAGAGGACGTTTGGATTATGCTCTAAAAGCACTCTTGAGCAGAACAAAAATGTTGTATCCTTACTTTAGAAAATTCCATAGGCTTGAGAAGTGGGGGAAACGGCATGAGGGAGTGCATGGAGTGAGGTATTTAAAAATTGGGATCTAATGGGATGAGCTAATTCTTCATATATGCTCATTTAGTTTAGTACCCGATGATGTCTTAAGCTAGGTTATCTTCAATTTTATATAAGGACCGGTTGAGGCAGCAGTATAATTTAACAAAACATAGTTATTAAAATTTAAATTTGATAGACGTATTTTTTTTTAGTTTTAAATATAAAATTTATTTTGTACTTCCTCCGTTTCTTATTACAAGAGACATTTGATGTTTATGACATGTTTCTATATATAAGAGATACTTAAAAGTTGTCTCTACTTTTTTGTGTTGATTTTCTATTTTACCCATATTTATTATCTCCAACTCACACTCTCCCATTTCTTTCTTTAATAATTTAATTGTTTTCTCTCATGTTCTCTCTCCTTATTAATGAGGGCATTTTTAGAAAAAAATTATACTTTTTACACATTAATTGTTCATAACTAATTTTAACTGTTTTTTTATCATCGTACTTTAGTTATTTGTATCTTATAATAAGAAACGGAGGAGTAATGTAATTGGATATTATATCTAGGACAGAAAAATATAATTATAAGCTTCATAATATAGAGAGAGAATCAAACCTATGGACGTATCAGCAAGTCTCCATTGAATGGGTAGAGTTGGATTATAAGACATTATTGTGTTGCAGGGTGGGGACAGGGGATTGGGTAATTTGAATGGGGCATCCTTGTCCGTTAGCATGTTGGCATTTTGAAAAGAAGAAAAGCGCGTGGACCGTTGCATATGTAGCTCTTTTCTTTATTTTATGATCAGAGAGAGTGGGCCCACGCCCCCAGTTGTGTTGAAAACAGAGGGAAGTGATAGAGAGAGGGGGTGTCTAGCTGGGACGCATCTTTTACCAGGCATGGCATCATCATATAATAATGCTACCATGTAGAAAATGATATGAAGGTGGCAGTTTTATAATTATAATTATAATCCTCTTTTTAATGTTGTTTCTCTTTTGTTATCTCTAAAGAGGCATGTTGGCGAAGGGAAGGTTCTTTATTATATTAATGTTATGAATGAGTGGAGCTTTGGAACTTGGAAGCCTGTAGATTTGACTGTCACACATACTCCATCCGTTTCCATCTGTTTCATTGTAAGTGCTATGATAACAGTAGTATTCATCTGTTCTTAATTTAAACTTAATTAACTAATTTGAATAAATTAATGATACTTGTTAGTTAGTTAATATAATTTTTTTTTTACCAAAACATTCTAATCATTTTCTTTAATTCTTTCTCTTTTATTTGATTATTATTAGAAAAATATTGATAAGATTAATTTAAAAAAATAAATAAACATGTAAAATAGGTCTTATATATAGAATCAATATCAACTCTCAAATTATGTCCTATATTAAAGGCTAGAGGGGTATTTTTTTAATATAGATTAAAAAATCATTAAATAATCTAAACTTTTGTAAAATCAATCTATTACTTTCTTAAAATGTCTCTAGTAATTGTCTCTGTCCTTGATATATAGAGGCACCTTGGTAATTTTATTACAGTATGAATATGTAGTTTTATTCTTAATTTATTTTCTTTAGACTGTTATCCTTTTAGGAAACATATGTTAAATAGATTTAAAGTTAAAAAGTTACTAAATTTTAAGATAAAACTAATAAAGTTTTAGTTTTTTTTTTAGTTCAAATGAAATATGTCGATAGTGCTTTATAAATTTTACTAATAATGAGTATATTAACAAGAAGAAATGAGAAATATATCATTTGATACCTTTTTAAAATGTGAAAATGACACTTATTGAGGAATGAAAAAAATATTTTTGTGATAGTTATAATAAAATGGAGGGAAGTAAATGATTGCTACGCGGAATTTTTCTTTTTTTTGGTGCAAAGGCAAGAGGAGTGAGAAAAGTAGTGAGGGAGGGGGAGTCCAGGCGAGTCCAAATCCAATCAGAAGTTCCCGGAAAAGGAATGAACGTGATCCAAGCCTAAATAAAATTGGGGAAAGAAAAAGAACCCAAACCTATTGAGGGAGAAGAAAAGAGCCCAAAGAAGCCTATAAGTATACTAATAGGAATATAATGAGTGAGAGGGCTTTGGAAAAGAAGCTATCACAAGTAAGGCCCATAAGATAGTAATGGGATCAGTGAGGATGAATCACCCACCGGAGCTCCAACCTTCGGTGCCGGACACATTAATACCAGTAGCCAGACCTCCAACCTCAAATTTGTTTTTTTAAGGGTATTACTGTTTTTTTTTACAAAAATAAAAAGGATGAGAATTATTGTATTTTTATCTTTAAATTTTAATTTTATTTTTCTCCAAGAGGGTTGATTGAAATTTTTGAATGTTTTGAGGGTTAATTGATATAAAATAGCTATTAAGACGGTTTACTGAAATTCTTCCCATATAAACTAATGTCTTGATGGAATGAGTTTGGGTTCTTATCAGATTTAAACTATCCAGATACATTTTTTTTTGGAAAGACATTTATTTTGTTGGTTATATAATCTAAAAATAAAAATAATCTCTTAATCATTATTTTTCCAAAAAAAAGATTTTTCATTTTAAATAATTAATTAAAAAATTTAAATCTGAATCCTCAATATCTAATGAATTTGGGGTGTGATGAGCACCTAAACCGTTCCACGTCCTAAGATTGAGATTACAGATGGAATCAAACTTGAAACTTCCCACTAATGAAGAGTTTACATTCTGTTGGCTTATAAGTTCATTGACCAGATGAAACCTCTTTAAAATAGCCCGGAGATCCCATTCAAGTCATTAACTGCATCATCGAACATCAGGATTCAGCAAACCCAGCAGCATATAATAATGGGGGAAAAAATGAAGCTACTGATATGTGGTTGGAAACATAAAAAGAAGAAATAATTAATATGCAAGCGTCAAGCAAAAGCAAATAATAATGGTGATGATGTGACAATATTTGCCTTGGTTTACACCACATTATTAATGTGAAATATCGTAAAGTGAAGTGATGACGAGACCATATGAAAGCATTCTCATTCTTCCTTTTGCTGCTATTAATGGTTCATTACGTACAAACAAATTTATGGATCGAGTTTTGCCAATTCCATGCAACGTCGTGCTGCGTCCAAAGCAATAATGAAGATGCCCTTGTCGTTCAAATGAAGTTGACAATAAGAAAACAGCATGTTAGTTGTGGGACCCACCAGCTAATTAAGGAAGTTTTCAAATAAAAACCTCCTTCCCAATGGATTCCTTTCCCTGCTAATTTCAGCTTCTGTCATTTTCCATTTCCGTTTCTGCACTTTTCTTCTGTATTGTGAACACCCGAGGATTGGCTAATCTTAGCCATGAAGGTTATTATGAAGAATCTTGTATTTGCGATAAGTGTCGTATTATTTCATTAGGGACATTTCAACAAGACAAGAGACAATTAAAAGAGGAAGCAAAAAGCTTATTTAGTACGCTAATCAAACATTACTACTACTATTTTTCCCAAAGCTGTATATAAATATCTGTCATTGGTGCTGATCCATCACTCCCCATCAAACCATGTAACTTTGAAAGAGAATGGATACCTCACTGTAATGAAAAAGACCACCATCTCCTCCTCCTAAACTTCAAGCACACGATGGTTGATCCATCTGCCATCCTCCCTAGCTGGTTTGATATAAGCCAGATTATATTGCGGTGAATGAACTCGACTTCACTGTGACTAACACCATTGATAGAGTCATTGAGCTCAGTCTCCCTTGTTGAGGCTGAAAAGGAGGGACCCAATTAAAGAGATCGAAGTCAAATATCATGTTGGGGGATCCCCTGGAAAGAAGGGTTAACTTTGAGAGTTTGGCGTGGCTTCTTTCAGACACATGTCGTGTCATGTGTTTTGATAGTTATCCTTTTTCATTAAGCTTACTAAGCTTTACTTTACTTCCTCTTATACATTGACTTCGTCTTCATTCGAGTCAGAATATAATTAAGGTTCTTGCCATTCCATTATTCATTCTTTGTGAAGAGTCATTAAAGCATTATAGAGACTTTAGTTAGCCCATTGCCATGAGAAGAAAAGGTTTGTACAGGGCAATATATATATAGAGACTGCAGAATTTGCAGAAAAGTTCTGGTAAAAAAGAATGGTAGAAAAATGGGATGGAGGCGCTAGTACCTGCAGCATATGTAACACAAATATAGAGGACCAATTGCGTGCCCTCCGAGATTGCCCTTATGCCCAAGCTATATGGAGGGTAGCTTATCAAGTACGTTCTTCCGGAAGCAGTGGCATACCTGGCTGAAACACAATTTAACTTATAGAGGCAGAACTGATAAAGACACAAGATGGCCAGAGATGTTCGCAATTGGTTGCTGGTTTAACTGGAAGTGGCGCAACCAGTTTGTCCATAATCCTGAAATTGAACTACCCAATAATGCTACGGATCTTATTTGGCAACATTTAGATCACTATACCAGAAGGTGGATTGAAGACAGCTCGGACGATGGAAAAGAGGAATAGGTCATTGTGAAGTGGACACGACCGAGGAAAGGTTGGCGAAAACTGAACTCTGATGGAAC